TATAAAATAAAGAGACTAACTTTTTTATACAGGATTTACAAACTAGTTCCTCAAACACACTTACTTGAGAATCTTTAAACTATGGTTCCCATTTCCTGAAATCTGTTATAAAACACTCTTTTTCACTCATAAAAGAGCTGAGGGTCACTTTAAAAGGCCTTCAGTTAAACATCCAAATGCAGAGTGGTCCAGCTTAACATCCATATTTATCCAACCAGTATCATGTTTCTTTAATAACAGTTGTCATGATTCATTACTGCTTCTGTCTCTTCCTCTGGACCTGTGCTGCCCAATACAGTAACCATTAAACACATATGGCTACTTATATTTAAATTCAAATTAGTTATAATTAAGGAAAATTTAAAAACTAATAAATTGGATTTCACCAAAATGAAGAACTTCTGTTCCCTGAAAGATGCTATTAAGAGACTAGAAAGAAGCCAGACATGGTAGCACACACCTGTAATCCTTATACTGAGGGAGGCTGACACAAGAGGGCTGTAAGTTTAAGACTATCCTAGACAATTTAGTGTCTCAGTAAGACCATGTCCCAGAATAAAACATAAAACGGGCTGGGGAAGCAGCTCAGTGAAAAAGTCCTGGGTTCAATCCCTAGCAGAGAGATAAGTAAATATATAAAATGCTAAAAGAGAAAAGAAAGATGAGTCATAGAGTGAAGACTTTACAAATCACCTATCTGGCAAAGTATTTGAAAACAGAATGTATCAAATCAAAAGTCAATTATAAAGAAAGGAAATCAAAACTGGAAAAATATTTAAATGGGTACTTCACCAAAGAGAATATATAGGTGAAAAATAAGCACGTGAAAAGATGCCCAGTCATCAATCATTAAGTAAATGTAAAACAAAACCACTAGATACTACTTTATATTGACTAAGATGACTATGACCAAAAAAGACAGATAATAACAAGTGATGGTAAGAATGTGAAGAAACTGGAATCTCAGACAGGGCTAGTGGAATGTAAATTCACTTTGGAAAAGAGGAATGAAACAGTTTCTTAAAAAGTTAAAACCAAACTTAAAATATGATCCAATTTCACAACATACCTAAAAGAAATGGAAGCACAGGTCCACACAGGCTTATATATGAATGTTCACAAAGGCTTCCCTTGAAATAGTCAAAATTAGGAAATTATCCAAATGCTTACTAACAGTTGAATGAATAAACAAATTGTGGTTCACATGTTAACCATTCCTAGTCTGAAAATCCAAAATCCAAAATGCTTCAAAATATGACACTTCCTGAGCACTGACATGATTTCACAAACGGAAAATTCTAGATTTCATGTTACATGTTTTAAAATACAAATACTGTACAAAATTATTTTCATACTATATGTATGAGGTACATATGAAATATAAATGTCTTTCACGTTTAGACTTCAATGTCATCCTCAAGACATCTCATTATGTATATATAAATATTTCAAAATCCCAAAACTTCCAAAATTCAAAACTTCTGGTCCCCAAAACTGACAGAGAATATTCAACCTTTACTACTGAGCAATGACAGACACTACTGATATACATACCAACATGGATGAATACCTAAACATTATACTGAATGAAAGAAGCTAGACAAAAAAGAATAAAAGTATGATTCCATTTATATAAGTTCTTGAAAATGCAAAGTTAATCTACAATTACAGAAAACAAGCTAGTAATTCTTCAGGAAATGGTTTTACATATACATACTTTTTTCAAAATTTAAAGATTTATATACTTTAAGTATGTGAAGTTTATTGTATATCAATTACACCTCAATGAAGCTGTTAAAAAATCCTAGACAGGTGTAATGGTAAATGCCTTAATCCCAGCACTCTGGGAAGCTGAAGCAGGAGGATCACAAGTTCGAGCTCAGCCTGAGCAACTTAATAACTCTGAGACAGTGTCTCAGAATTTAAAGGGGCTAGGGATGTAATTCAGTGTGAAAGCCTTGGGTTCAATTCCCAGCACTACTATTACAACAAAGAAACAAATTTAAAAACCCAATAGCAAAAACTAACTCTTCAGTTGTACCAGGGCATTTCAAGAGCTCAGTAGGTAAGTGCAGCCAATGATCACTGAACTAGACATTCCAGATAAATAAAGGTGCATCATGGCAACAAGTCCCACTCAACAACATTGCTTGGACAGGAGTCAGGAAACTATGTAACAGGGACCCACTTCATGTTTTCCTAAATAAAGTTTTACTGGAACACAGCTAAGCCAATTCATGCACGTATTGTCCATGGCTTCTTTGGTACTACAATGGCAGAGCTAAACAATTGCAACAGACACCATATGGCCTGCTAACCTAAAATATTTGCTGTCTGGTCCTTTATGTAAGGTTTGCTGACCCTCCTCTAAACCATAAATTCTCAGGATAGGGGACATGCCTATCCTGTTTACTGCTCCACATAACGCAATTAATATGTACAGAGTACCTGATATGTAGAAAGCACTATTTCTATGCACTGAGGATACAACCTGGAATAACATAGACTAAGACCCTATTCTTACAGTGTTCACAATCTGGTAGAGGTGACAGGTATAAGGTAAATATGAAAATATGAGACAAAGTGTAATACTAAGATAACAAGAAAGCAGAGGATACAGAGCATAATTGAGAGGTAACTTCCTTTTAGTTAGGAAAGGCCTATGGGAATGCTATGAATGCTATGAATCAACACTGTAAAGACTGGGAGCAGATGCAGAGGGAAAAACACCACCAAAGCCTCAAAATAGGAATGGATTTGAGGACTTGATTTAAGAAAAAGAAAGGCCACATGGCAGGGCCAAGAAAAGGAGTCTGGATTTTCTCATGTGATAGAAAGGCACTCCAGGATTTTAAGCAGGTGAGAAACATAATTAATTTACATTGCTTAAAGATCTTTCTGGTATGTTAAATGGAGACTGGGTTATGGAAAGACAAGAAAAGTGTTAGACAAGAAGTCTCTGCAAAGGCACAAGTGAAAGACGGTGGTGCTTGGGTTACGGTGGCAGCAGTGGAGACGAACTTATGTTTCAAGTGATAACAGCTTTTCTGATGGATTGTTGTAGAATGAGGAAATGAGTTTAAAAATGAATTCTAAATTTTTGACTTGAACAACTGAGACACAATGTTATGAATTACAGATAGGAGAAAAATTACAAACAATAAGTGCTAACATTTTAGTGTCTATTTATGTCATCATTCATTCACGTTTAATTTTCCCGATAATCTTGGGGACAGATTCTGGCTTGGTAGTATATCAATCCATTATGTTTTATAATAAAGGCCACCATCTTAGAAATAATGACTATGCTGAGTTAAAAAAAGACGGGAAAGGGGCAAAACAGCCCTTCATTTATTGAACATTTACTCCTTGACAAATGATGAAGCTACTCTTTAGTATTTCTTCTCTTTTACCAGCATGCTTAATGAGCCTTGGGCAGAGGTTGGAAGAAAACTGTTCAGGAAAATTAATTTTGATTTTTTACAATTCCTCAAAATTACAAAATATAAACAATGCTTTACATTCATTTGACATCTTTTTGTACCATTAACCTGATAACGTACAGGTTTTGTTTGGAAAGACTTGATTACAAACACATTCCCTCCATCTCTGAAGGGGAGAAGATGACAAAGACAAACAGCAGCTTCAATACATCAAAGGCTGAGCCAGCAGAGCAGCCCATGCATCAAGTTCATGGACACCCCTAAATGGCTCTGCCACAAGGTCAAGGTCCTTTGGAGCACACAGGCACTACACGTCTATACCTGCAGCATGATCTCACTTCTCTTCATTGACCTCTTAGCCAACCCAGTACATTGGTGGGAAGATTTCTTAAAGAATGAAAAATTTGGACAAGTAAGGAGCCTTGTAACCCCTTAAGCCTCTAATTATAGCAATACAATGCCTTAAAATATATCTTAAGAGCTAGATTATCCTTCTCGCCAAAATTTGTTTCTGGGGAAGCTGGCAAAGCATCATCACGGCAAGGAACAAAAATGGCCAAACATCTGAAAGTCTTGTGCTGAAGGACGGGGAGGCAGACATGGCTAGAAACATCCAAACCAATTCCTAAGAGACTGAGAGCCAAGGCCGGGAGGTCCCAGCCCACGTGCACTAACTGGCTCAGGGAACAGTTCCAAAGAAATCTGACCCCAATCGGAATCCTCCCTCCGCGCCGCAGACGTGTTTATCAGAAGGGAATGCTACAAGTTGTTACCCGCACCCCTCCTAGCTCTGACAGGGAACACGCGAGGCCACCCCCACGCCCACACCCACACCCAGACCCTCTCCAGCCCTGCCAGAGTCCCAAGGGCCAGGGATCAGCTCATTGCGAAGGCCTGGGCTTTCCACTACAGCCCCCTTTGCCCCCGCCCAGCCCAGCTGCAGGCCAAGTCGAATCTTCGCGTCCCCGTGGCACGGTCCATTTAGCATCGCGCATCTGCACCCTCAATTCTGACCACCCCCACCCGACCAGGACCGCGCTCCCCGTGGGAAGAACCCTCTATCTTCAGAAGTAAGCCAAGCAGCTGCGCCTCCGCAGCCAGGTGAGGGGCAGAGCCCGCGCCGCAGCCCGGCCGCCTGGCCGCCTACCTTCTTCTGCGCCCCGGGCGGGCAGCACCAGCTCTAAGGACTTCGGTGCCGACCCCGCCAAGGCCACTTCGCTAGGCTGGAGGAAGACGACCCCCTCCGCCAAATCCAGGGCTGCGCTCCGCGACTGCGGATCCGGCGGCAGATGGAGACGGGGCTGCAGGGTTCGTCAGAGGCGAACTGAAACTAGATGCTGGGAGCTGGAGTTTCTGGGGATCACCTGGGTGGGGAGCAGCGGCGCGTCGGCGAGAGTGGTGAGGGACTGTGAGGAGGCCGGGACGAACGGCTCGGCTCTGCCGAGCCTCAAGGGCCAAAGGCGGTTGGCTCGTTCGGCTCGAGCGGAGGGCTTGCGCCGGCGTGGGGGCTGCGGCGGCGGCGGCGAGGGGCGCGAGGCCCCAGCTCGGCGTTCTTACCTTCTTGGTGCCCGGGCCTCCCGCGAGCCGAGACACTCCTGTCAGGGAAGAGGAGCGGGGCGGCTGTCCCCCTAGGGTCTCCTGCTGGGGGGACATCGCTTCCATGAAGAAAATCTTCAAGTAAGTCCCAGCTCAGGAGGAGGCTACGCGGTCATGTCCGCGTGCGGACGGCCGGAGGGGCGAGGGCGGGCTAGTCGAAGCGCGGCCGCCGCGCTCAGGCAGGGAGCCGGGCTCCGGGTGCGGGCGACGCACCTCCCGTCGGGGCCATGTACCGCAGCGCTCCGCTCCGCGCCGCGGCTGGAGGCGACTGCAGCGCGACCGCCAGTCAGCGCCGCGGAGGCCCCGCCCCGGCCCGCCCCCTCCGCGCGGGAGCCGCCCCGCCCCCGCCGCCCTCCAGGCCTCAACCTTTTTTTTCTACCCACGGTGTTAATGTAGACATCAAAAGTCCTGTCATTTCTCTTTTCCCATCATACCCACGGGTGCACAATACACATGCGTGGACATTCAAGGTGTTGAAGAGAAGAATCGTGACATTAGACCACACAGATGTTTGTTGAACAAGTGACCATGGTTTTCCTAATACTAGATATAACAATAGTCTTTGTAATCTACACTTATTCCTATTAAAAATGAGAATTGTTCTATGACTCATAAATGGAATATAGAGGCTTTGTTTAGTTCTGTTTTCCTAGAATAAATAGGAACGTACTGAGTTAAAGGCAGAAGGAAGAAGTTTCAGAGGAACATATTATACATAAGAAAAAGAAGTTCAGCACGAGGAGGTTTTGGGTTGTTTTTTTGGAGCAAAAAAATGTTTTTGAAAAATCATCTATAGCCACCAAAGAATGAAAGCAGCATAATTTAAGACTGGTTCTTAAGACTGGGAGCTTTTAAGAATACACTGGACCTTTGACTTACGAATTCCATCTGTTGTCGAGAGCTGGTTGTAACTCAAGTTGGTTGTTAGTCAATACAGCTGAGATCTGGATGTTTATCTGGGTACGTGCTATAGATAACGAGAAGCAGATGAATCTTCCATTAACTTAATTAACCCGAGTTGTTCATATGTCTGGCCAGTCATAACTTGAGGGTTCACTATATTTTACTTTTTCTCCAGAGAGTCTGATTTAATTGTTTGGGGTTACAGCCTGATGATTGTGATTTTTAAACATGGGGATTTTAGAAAACCTTTGTAGGTGAGCCTACACAAAACATCTCACAACCTGGTTACTGGAGTGATGGTGTTCGTGGTTAGGAGGAGAGAGTCTGTAGATTATGAACAGCAGCCAGTTAAGAGATAAATCAAAGTAAATAATTCAGTAATACAAAAACCATGGTGAAAAAGATGGGCTGGTGAACACTAAATTAATTTAAGTATAAAACTAAGTAAGTATAAAACGAAATAATTAAGAAGTTACTGCAACAAGACGAGGGGCAAATGTAGTTACATCTTAATGTATACAGAAAAAAGACAAACATTATTGACAGGTCAGGGCAGGAGAGAGAAAAAGAAGTCTGTTAATGTCTTCTTTCAAGCATAGTTTCAGTAGTGACTAAAACAGGTGATTGTAGGGTTTTAAAATATGACAGTTTTTTATTAATATGTTGTAGTCTGTCTTTGTGTTCTTTATTCCCTGCATAAAACCTTCAAGAACTCCTTTAGGAAGTATTATCTCTTGTGGAATAATATTTTATTTAATTATGGCAATTTCCTCTATTTAACTTATTTTCTTTTATAAAATTCAAGGAAAATTAAGTTTCTTATTCATTTTTATTGATCCATCAATAAATACATACATGTGTTCATCTATCATAGTTGTATAGAAAATAATAGAGATATGTGACTCTAATACTAATAGTGGTAATTTCTGGGTAATGGAGCTTAAAGTGATTTAAAAATTTAAGCTTTCTGAATTGCCTAATCCCTTATACTAGGATGTATCATCTTTACAGAAAGAATAGAATGATTTTTCTTTACAATGCAGAAAAATAGAAGTTAATGTGTTAAAATATTAATAATAATTTAGCCTAAATAGGGTATTTTCATTTTCTTCTTGTACTTCACATTTTTCCTGTTTCTAAAAAGTGGTAGCAAAACATTTGTAAAGTAATCATCTTAGGAAATGTATTAAAAAACATTTGCAAATAGGTACTTTGCTTAACTTCTGCTCTTCAGAATAAAGTTTAAGATGAAATTTGCCTTAGAATCCTAAACTTTAATAGTGGAATATTTGATAGATGTTAAACTGATAGAATGTTTAATAAGAATTGCAAAATGGGAAAATGCATTTGGAAACAGGGTAAGTGAAAAAGACAGTAACCATTTCATGAATGTTTACTATATGCTTGGCACTGGTCTAAGTCTTTTATTCATTTTCTCATTTAGCCTTCATGATAAACCTATGAGATGCACAGTGGTAATATTTCTGCTTTTAAAAAAAGGAGGCTGAATTCTGTGACACTAAATGCCTCACCAAGATCTTTTAAGCCAGGATCCTAATGCAGGATCCTATATGATCTCAAGGGATCTTTATATTCATTCTCCCATTTATTCTCATACTAATTCTGTGGTGGATTTTTTCCTAATAGATCAGAAACTGATGGATTAAAGGTGAAATAATTTTTTGAGATCACATGACAGAGCTCAAAATCACATCTTTATGATTCCACCACTTAAGAGCTTTCCAATGTGCCAAACTTTAATGTAGTGTGTGTGTTGTACAATCACGTGTATGCTATCATAGAAACAAATGCATTTTTATAGTGATTTAATAATTTGATGTGATTTCCAGCCTTTCTCCTTCCCTATCCCAAAGGGGAATGGGCAAAACGTGCCATACAGAGAAGTCTTGATTCCCAAGACTTTCGCATACCAACCCAATTTTACAATCTAGGAAGCATGCTTGAAGCAATTTTTACTCAAGATCAGAACTGAATTTTGTAGCCACATGGTTTATGGCTCTAGTTGTGCCCTAGAAGTGATAGAAATTGGAGAAGGGCAGAGACAGTGAGGTTTTTACAATACAACCAAATGATAATTTTCTACTTAATTCTTCAGCTTAGAGACAGCTAGGGCAAACAGAACAAAATAAACCTAATAAATTCTAGTTTTTCTATCATTTTAGGTACTTTTTTTCTTCCCTTTCCTTTCTTTCTTTCTTTTCACACACACACATACACACACACACACACACACACACACACACGCTCCTTTTTGTCTTGTCTTATCTTTTTTCTTTTTAAAATGATACTGGAGATCCATCCCAGGAGTGTTCTACCACCTAGCTACATCCTTAGTCTTTATTTTTTTATTTTTTTTATTTTGAGATAGTGTGTCACTGAGTTGCCCAGATGGAACTTGGACTCAAAAACCTCCTGTCTCAGCCTCCTAAAGTCCTGGGATTAAAGGAGTGCATCATTGCACCAGACATACATTTTAAGCTCAAGTTAGTAGAAAATGGACAGATCTGGAGTTGTTTCACAGTACTCTTCTATGTTTGTAAATTAGAAAATAAAGAGTAATCTTGGAGAAACAATTGCTTAGCAATGGGTTCTGTAAAATAAAGATGTTTGATATGTTTTTAGAATTATGTACTACATACAGTCAAACTGCTTCAGATATCAGCAAATCAATGAATATAGGTTTTATTGTTGTAGGAGAGACCAACATATCAGTTATTTATGCTCCGATATTTATCCTACTGTGTTATGAACCCATATTCTGAGGCAACAGGCCATAGAAAGAAACTCCTACCATGGTATGAATTTGTCCTTAGTTTCTTGTAAGGAATTATATGCCCTCCAAGAATCACAGATTTAAAAATAATCAGAAATATGTCTCAGAAAACTTAAGACTGCAAGATTTAGTTTTTGTTGAAATTTCAGAAAAATAGTAAAATTTTGATTAACTAGTAATATATTGAGCATATAATTAATCCCAAACTGCAGATGATCCTAAAATCAGTTTATATTTGGTCTAGTAATGTGCTGACTTTACTTGATAATACCAATAAAGTTTCTTTGTTAATTGTATTATGTTTAGATTAATATAAAAATTGATCTGATTTCCTGGGGATTAAATAATTCAGGGAGGCACCCAGTCTAGGTTTATAGCTTTGCAGATAGGTTCTTCTCTGGGTAGCAAGTAACCTTGAATCTGTGGACTTTATTACTGTCAGACCTAGAAAACTGGGCTAACAAAAGCATTGCATAAAGTAGTCATTTGAATAGGGACATTTTATAGTTGATTAAAAATATGAATCTGAAAAATTTTATTCCAAAGCTCTCAAGAAGAAGACTTGTAGTGTTTATGCTGGGGAAGAACGAGTAGTTAGTCCACTAAAATATTTTTAATCTTTACAAGAATATTTACATTATTTTTCATAGTCACTGGCATGTTGCTGGCATTTTCATGCACAGTATTTATATCCAATAACTAGTACTAGCATTTTATTTAAACTAGAAACTAATTTCTAAGAATAAAAATTTTAAAAAATAAAAAAAAGAATAAAAATAAAAGAAATACGTAAGTTTATAAATTTGGTGCTGATACTATCCTTCTAAGAACCATTAGCACAAAGAAAATAAACTCCAGTTGCAGTCAAAGATCTTACCTTGCTTCCAGGACCCACAACTCAACTGTGTAAATACTGGCAAATTACTTAACTGCTCGGAACTTCCACTCAGTAATATTTAATGTTTACCTCAAGGGTGTGTTGGCCTGTTATATATGAGACAAATGTAGGTAAAAGTACAGTATAATGGATAGCACTACACAATGGATGTCACAAACAAGTGACATTTATTATTATCTAAAGTTTAATATAGACACAGAAGTCCCTGAATGTTAGTTCTAGGTTGAGAGTCTCAAGCTAATTCTGAAGTTCCCTGCCCTCTAAACCTTGTGACAGGTACCAACTATGTCCTTGAAAGGAGGAGGGGAAGAATGGAGGAAGGAAGGAAGGAAAATAGGGAAAGGCAGAAAAGGAAAGATCCTTCCATCCACTTTTCTCAAACCATGCAAAAAAGCCTTAGAAAATGAGTCAGCATGGCACAGGGGTGCACACCTGTACTCCAGCTTCTTTGGAGGATGATAGAAAGTTGAGGCGTGCCTAGACAACTTAATGAGACCCCTTGAAATATAAATTAAGGAAGTCTGGAAATGTAGCTCAGTGGTAGAGCCCCTTGGATTCTATCTTCAGTATTCAAAGCAAAACAGAAGAAGTCTGCCAGAGTGAAATGATAAGAATTCATATTCCTGTGTGTTAGATTTGAAAAGGTTTTGCTTTTCTGTGTGAGATAATCATTAAGGCAT